CCTGTCATTTTTGTATGGGCTATATGCTTGTTGATCATATAATTCTTATCCCCTTTCATATCTAAGTTGTGATAATCTCTGACTTCTGATCTGCACAACAGCAGTTTTTAGGAAGGTTGTACCAGAGAATGGTAAATTTTAAACGTCTTCACTTTATTGAAACCTCTCAAACATCTAAGATGAGTAAGTTAATTTTAAGACATCCATTTATGTGATGTTGGAAAAGTTCAGAAAATTATCATTGTGGTTTCACCTCTATTGTTTTTATATGCTATAAAAACATGAGAATAATTGGGAGTTGTTCTGTCTCTACAGATACCACTTTCATAAAAATATTTGGTAAGCTCCTCTTTGATAGTATTTTGAATCATTACAAGCATTTTACAATAATTTTAGTATATTCTCATATTTATATTCTGGAACTAAGGTTTTTTTTTGTTAGTTAAATACTTATTTGTTTTCTGAAAAGTCTTTTTGTAATGGTTGAATATATATAGTTTCTGAAAATTTTTAACCCATTTGTAATAGTCCTCGGGTTCATCTTGAAACAAGATGATAATTTTGAGAATTTTTGTAAATGTTGGATAATTATTAACTTTCTTTTAAACAATGAAATTTATGAATATTTCCAGTATATTGAAAAACACCTAAAGTTTTGTTATTCTTGAACCATCTTTGAAAAGATCTCTAAAACTCCCCTTTTGATTTTTGAAGACATAAGAATGCATTGTCTGTCTTATCTGTTATTGCAACATTGTTTTACAACTTTCACCAGTTACAAGTTTTCATGATCAACACAGTTTGGATGTGTGACTAAAATTTGCATGTCTAAGAAAAATGTATAAATAGATGCCATGTATGCAGACAACCATGTTTCGTCAAAAAACATTTCTTTCATAAATAGTCATAAGAAAAGTGTAGTATAAGAAGCATATTTGTACATTTTTAACCAGAACTAATATGTTACTATACCTTAATCCCAAAATTGGTGCAACTATAATAGTAAACTGGTTTAGAATATTAGATTGCTTTTAATCTGGTGATGTAAATTTGTGCATTTTTAAGTTTCTTTACATTACATACGTGGTGAAAAGATATGGTGAAAATTTATACCAATTCTTATTTCTTTAAATAAGCATTAACATTTTTTTGGAAATAGTACTCTCATTTTTTAGTTAATGAAAAATGATTTCATAAGCAATGCATGACTTGGGAAAGTATTAGGTCGTCAAGAAATTAATGTCGTGTTTTGGAACATTTTCATTAACCACCCCCAAAAACACGTACATCACGTATAATATAAATATAAATATATAGTTAAACGAACCGACTAAACGTTACGTTAGTGTAGACTGTATAATGTGTAAAGTTTAGTATACTCTAATCCCTTATAGTTATGGCACACGATGAAACACACATTTGGCATGTAATGCTGTTTGAATTCCAGAAGGGAAACAATGCCTCTGTAGCCACGAATAATATCAAAGAAGTTTATGGAAATGTTTTGAATATTCATAAGTGTCAACGATGGTTCAATTTCGTTCAGGTGACTTTAGCCTTAAAAACTGTGATGGCAGGGGCCGACATGTTGGAATTGATATTGATGCTGTGAATATGCTTGTTGAGTCTAACCCAAGGCAACACACCCATGAAATGGCCCTGAAATTGCATGTCTCTCATGAAACTATATGTAAACATCTAGGGAATATGGGAAAAATCCATAAAGAAGGTGTTTAGGTGCCTCATGATCATCGTTTCCTACGTGTGAATGTTGCTTCGTCTCTTCTGGCACGTAATACATGTGAACTATTTTTGGACAGAATTGTCACCGGTGATGAAAAATGGATTCTCTATGTGAATATTAAATGGCCAAAAACAATGGCTCAATCCTAGACAAAAACCACTTCCGACCCCAAAACCTGGATTCCATCCGCGGAAAGTGATGTTTTGCATTTGGTGGGACATCAAATGAGTAATTCATTTCGAATTCCTCAATCCACAGCGAACTGTCAACGAAGAGATCTATAGTCAGCGACTGGAACGTTTAAATCAAACCCTTCATCAGAAACGCCCTTCACTCGTCAGTCGAAAAGGTTTTCTTCTTCTCCACGACAATGCACGTCCACATGTGGCACGTTTGACGCAACACAAAATTATGGAGCGGGGTTGGAAAGTTCTCCCCACCCACCATATTCTCCACATATGTCACCATCAGATTACCATCTTTTTCGTTCGCTGCAACACCATTTTAATGGGAAAACGTATGTAAATGTGGAAGGTGTTAAAGAGGACATCGGCATGTTTTCTGCTTCAAAGCCAAGTGATTTCTTTAATTTGGGCATCAACAACGTGATTGTAAGATGGAAAAGCATTATTGATAAGAATGGAGACTATTTCATTTAATAAATGTTTTGTTTTGATATATATATACTGTTTGGGTTTTTTCATCTAAAAAAGCGACATTAATTTCTTGATGACCTAATATCTATGCTTGACTTTTATTAAAGTATCAAATTCATTGTCAAATATAACACCGTAGGGATTCTCAGAAAACAGTGACTCAATATTTATTTTTTAGCCAATTAACACCAATAATCGAATATATGACGTCATAGAAAAATAACTTACTGGATGAAGAAAGTCCTCTACGCAATGTATTACAATTATTTTGACCAAGTTTAAAATATAATTTCAAAGCATGACCACTAATATTTTTTGCAAGAATTTTCATTATGACGTAATGTTTTAGAATGATTATTTTAATATTATAACTACATAAATTAACGTTGTATAACCCTGGGAG